CTTTTCAGCAGAATTTTGTTTTTTAATAGCACAGTGGGACACACTAAAATCATTCAGCTAATAGCATACTATACTGGATGCTAAAAATAAATGAACTGAAGTTCCTGTTTTCCAAGATCTCTCTCTTCAGACTCAGCTACATTGAAAAACACAAAGAAGCTTTTAAGGGAACTTCTTACGTTCCTACTGTTTATTCATATTTTCTCCCAGAGACCCATTTCTTCTCCCAGAGTGGAAATTTTCTCTATTTCCTTATATCGATACCCCACTGGTAAGATAACCTCTAAGGAATATTAGATGTTAACATGTTAATGATTGTGGCTGATTTTTTAAATTAACTTTATTGAGATAAAATTTTTATATAATAAAATGCACTTTTAGGTGTACAATTTGATGAGTTTTGACAAACGTATACAGTCATGTAACAACTACTAAAATCATACTAAACATTTCCATCAGCACCCCCTCCAAGTTCCCATGTTCCCCTTTATGGCCAACTCCCTTTTCCTCACTTCCTGGCCCCTGATCTGCTTATCACTATACTTTTGCTTTTTCTAAAGGTTCATTTAAATAGAAGCATATGATAAGTATCTCATATCTAGCTTATTTCAATTGGTAAAAATGCTTTTGAAAAAACTGTCCGTGTTGTTGCTTATATCAGGAATTCACTTTTTTTTTTATAGTTAAGTAGTATTCTATTGTATGGCTAGACCACAACTATTTATCAATTTACCAGCTGATAGACATTTGAGTCTTTTCAGTTTTTGTTGTTGTTGTTGTTACTGTTAGCAACACTACATTAAACATTCAAGTACAAGTCTTTGTATAAGCATATGTTCTCATGGGTCATATAGTAAATGTATGTTTATGTAAAAGCTTTATATTGTATTCTGGTGCCTATTCCTGAACAGATTTGCTTCAGTTCCTCAGTTAAAAGGAAAAAAAAAACCAACCCTCCACCCACAACAATTCAAGTTACTCATGCCACTGAATACAAATCACTGACAGAAGAATTGATACATCTGTTAATATCAAGCGCTCATCGCGCCTGTGTACTCCCGGAGATGAGAAACAGAGCTCACAGTCTGAGGAGGGAACTGTTACACTGTTTCTAAATAAGTAGGACTATCTGTTGGGAGACATAGAGTTAAATATTTTAGACTCCTGCTGTTCAAAGTGGGGTCCATGGACCAGCAGTATTGGCATCACCTGGGAACTTGGTAGACCCGCAGCTTCACACCCTTGATCCACTGCATCGGATTGGCACTTTAACAAGACCCCCAGGGGATGTGTGTTTGAGAAGTACTGATGGAGATGGTCAGGGAAAGAGAAATTACATCCCCTCGTTTTTGAGAGGAACCGGAAGCTCACCCTAAGTTCCTCGCTATCTCTTTTAAAAGTCTTTTGGACTTGACCTTTTCAATTTTCCAATCAACAGAATTTTCTCTGAAGAAACCAGTCAGATTCTCTCTGAAATAAGTGACTTTAAGACAAACTTCCCTCACATTCTAGGGAATATTTGTGGTTGCCTTGTAAATTCCCTAAACATTTCATTCCTATGTCGTTTTCAGTCTTATCCTTCCCCTTGCTACCACTATCACCACGATACTCCTGGTATTTTGAGAGGAAATTCTCCTCCCATTATATCTACAGGACACACGTTTCATTCTGCATTGCCTAAAACAGTCAAGTGTATCACCAGCCAAACCTTTACAACAGCATTCCCAATTGCTGTTGTTCACAACTTGAACCCCGGAATTACAGACCTTCAGAGCTGGGAAGAGTTCACGGCATGTTGACAGAGAAAGGGCTTATGTCACCATATTATAGAAGAGACAGCCAGGATTTAGAAAAATTTAAAAACTTGCCAAGGGGATGTCCCTCACAAGTAGCAGAGTCCATGGCATAAAAGGACATTTTTATGTAGACTTCCCTCCAGCACAATTCCAGTCTCACAGTGGAGGCACAGTAATAACCCACTAGTCTTGGCTTTGTTCTAGTCCTCTCCAACCTCCACGGTTTTCAATTCCCGAACCACCTCCTCCGGGTGGCACTTCACTGACCTGGGTCTCGCTCCTCTAACTTCTCTGCCTACGTTTCCAGGTCTCTTCCTCCTGGGCACACGTAAATGGGGGCCTTCTCCAGCTCTTATCTTAATTAATGCCGGTTCCTAGACCCACGTGCCCATTTCTTCTCAGCTTCTAGCAATGATCTCTAACCTCTCGTTAAGCCAGCCCACATGCTGCACCTGGCGCCAAATACTCGAAGCCCGGCTCTCATTCTGTCACTCAGTTCACAGGGAAACCGTCAGTGGCTCCCCACTGGCTGCCAAATAGACATAAAATTGCTTAGCCTGGCATGTAGGACTTCTGTAATTTGGTCCTTCCATCTTCTCTTCCTCCCCATGCAATTTATTCTTTGCAGGTAGCAGCGTAACTCGGTATTAAGGTTGCCTGCATGGCAAGCAGACCCTGGGGGTTTGAGTCTCAGCTCTACAAATCTGACCAGTTCTAGGACCCTGGGAAGTTGCTTAACCTCTTTCTAACTCAGTGTCCTAGGCTGTAAGATGGAATAATACCACACAAAAGAGCTGTTGTAAGTAGTAACTATAAAGCACTTAGGTAAAAGTCTGGCATGCAGTTAAGGGCTCTCCTAATCTTGTTCTCATTCTTCTTTTAAAACTAATAAAATACTAACTGCCCATATACCAAGCCCTTACTAAAAAATGAACTTTGTAACATCCTGGCAAAAACCCTAAGGAACTAATGACATTGTACTAATAATAGCCTCAGAAAATTAAGCTCCCATTACTATGCTAGCTATTTCTGCACATTCATTTTAACATTTCAAAGTATCCATGATAGGAAGACTTATTCATCTGCTTCTGAATAAGAAATGAAAGGTTTGATTGATCAAAGTAATAGTAATCTGTCAGCAAAACTCATGTTAGAATTAGACCCTATTTCTGGCTATAGAAGCAACATCTCTTTATGCTTTTCAAATACAACTGCTCTGGAGTTTTAGTAAAAAAACAGACAACCCAGACTTGTAATGAGCATATCAGATTTATGTCTTGAAGCAAGAAACAAAATCAAGAACTCTGCAAATAATTTGAGTGGACAAATGGTTTCATCTTACACCGTTATACTGTTGAGAAGGATTCAAATATTGCGTTCCGTTATACTGTTGAGAAGGATTCAAATATTGCGTTCTAGATTCAGAAAGAAATAGCAGGGTCAATCAGCAATGTCTAACAAGGTCAGGATGAGGGACTGAGTGTCTCAGTCCTAGAGAACAGGAGCAGAAAATGAAACACTGCAACAGATGGCAATAAAAATAGTTTCAATGTTCTGAACACTTATATAAAGAACTGTTCTAAATATTCTACACATGTAATTCTTTTAATCCTCAAAACCACGCCTTAAAAAAGGTACTATTGTCAGCGCTACCACACAGATGATGACACTAAAGCATAGAGAACGTATAACGTCCTCGAGAATCCCCAGGTGGTAAGTGGCAGAGCCGGAATTAGAGAGCAGGCACACACCAGAATCCATGCTCTTCACCATTATGCTATAGAGACTCCAAATATTTCCATCTGATGCCAGGAGATGTAAAGACTGGCAGGAAAGACCGTTCTACAAATCACCAAGATGACGACAGCTCAGACTCCATTACATTAGGATATGTCTGGCAGTAAGAAACCTGCAGATCCAGCCCTACGTCCAGCCCAAGTTTGTGGTGTTCAAGAATTTTGCAAGCCCGGTGGCTCAGGACCCTGGGGAAGGGCTTTGAAACCACTCATGAATAATCTCGGTGTGAACAATGAAGAGCTCAAAAGATTCCCAAGGACCAAATCCCAAAACCATTGTAAATGTCCAAATCTGCCAGTACCACTAAAGAAAGCATTATGTTCTCAGTCAATGGGCGTCCTTCACAAAAATGATTTTCAAACAAAACAGTCATGTAACAAATTTGCTAGGAGAATAACTGCTTTCTGATGAGCCTTCACAAATCAGAAGGACTGTAGAGACACACGGGTAAAACGTGGAGCTAATTCCTGAGGGACATTTGAGCTCCAGAGCTTTCTCAGAATAAGTTTATGAAGTGGGCTTTTAAATTTGTACATGGGTTCCAGGAATGGTAAGGAGAATATGCCTAAAAATCATAGTAAGGTACTTTAGTAAAATTATTATTAATTGTAGCATTTAAGGATGGAGAGGGAACTCGAGTTCATTCTATTGAGAAAACAAGGCCCAGGGAGGGCAAACATCTTGCCCAGGGTTACACAGCTTATTAACAGCAGTTTCTACAATAGCTGTGATGCATGTAACGATCTAGTTTTAACTTCAGTGTTTTCTCACTCTTTTACTTCCATACTGGCTTAGAGTAGTCCCAAAGAAGATCTATTCACGCTGAGAATAAAAAAAATATTTAAGGGGCATTCAGCTGGCTTGGTCAGAAGAGCATGCAACTCCTGATCTTGGGGTCATGAGTTCTAGCCCCAGATTGGGTGTAGCGATTACTTAAATAAATAAACTTTAAAATAATAATAAAAGTATTTATAAGTTCCATAGCTCAACTTTGGGATGTGCTGATGCGTCACTGGTTACATTGAAAGTCTCATGGGCCCTCTGGCCACATGTTGAACTCGTAAGAGATAAATTAATGGGCATTTTAGGGGCATCTGGGTGGCTCAGTCCTCAAGCGTCTGTCTTCGGCTCAGGTCATGATTCCAGGGTCCTGGGATCGAGCCCCACATCGGGCTCCCTGCTGGGCGGGAAGCCTGCTTCTCCCTCTCCCACTTCCCCTGCTTGTGTTCCTGCTAGCTCTCTCTCTCTCTCTCTGTCAAATAAATAAATAAAATCTTAAAAAAAAATAAAACTAAATAGGCATTTTAAAGTCATTTGGAAGAGGTGGCAACATTGTATAAGAACATTTCAAGTGTTCAAACTCACATCTAAGAAGTCTGCAGCAGTAGTAGTGTTGCCTTGACTTACCTGCACTTTTAGGAATCTGTTTCCCAAAGGCACTCTGCTCCTGAAGGTGAAGGATGTGGTAAGGGTCCCAGAGGCCCGGGAGCCTGTCTGCTAAATTGTCGGAGCCTGTCCACTAGAAATAAGCCAAGACAAAGGGTTGGGCTGCTTCTTCACTTACAAGTGCTGCAAGAAAACACAAAGATAGCAGGCTCATTAAGAATGGGCTTCACCGCCCAAGAAAAGCTTTAAGCCATTAAAAAATGTTTAATGAATACATCGTCTTAGTACACTCACTTCTGACCCCTCCCAAAATGCTTGACAGGGTGATGAAATTACCAAAAATAAAACGAAAATCCAAGAACAAAACCAGCAGCCTATATTACGTTACTAGAGCTCATGACTGGCGATCCACCGGATCCAGCTCAGGCTCCTTGGGAAAAAAAAAAAAAAAAAAAAAATCCAGCTCAATTAATCCAAAACAACCTGGTCATGAAAGAACCATCTGTCTTATTTTTCAGCTTCTCTCAACACACATACACACAGCGTTATTGTTAAATGCAGAGGTGAGAAAGGAAACTGTTGCTCTGAAAACCCTCCGAGGAAGGGAAAGGAGACAGGAGACCGAGGAGGTCAAGAAGAATGCAAATATCTAGGAGAAAGTGAGGGGAAAGGAAGCATGGAGAAAGCACAAGAACAACTAGTTTAAGAATGTGCTGTGGGCTACTTTCTCAAAATAAATAAATTAAATAAATAAATAAATAAAATTTTAAAAAATCCCAAACTGCTCTTGCTACAGCTTTTCTTACACAAGACTAACCCTGCTACAAAAACAAACAAAACAAAAACTGCACACTCTGCACTTGTGCTAGTAGAAAATGTTATTTAAGAAAAAATTCTTGGGAAACAAATATCAAAAAACCAAACCAACAAAAATATGGCAAATACTTTAAGAAGTCACTATGAACTCTGATGTCCTACAATAATGAAATACTTGTGCTTAACTATTATGAAAATCATTTAATAACATGAAAAAATATTTAGAATCTACCAAGAAGGAAAAATTTTAAAAACTGAGAACACGAAAATTATTTCTACGTATAAGATGGATGTGTATGTGACACATTACCAAAATACACTAGAAAAAAATGAAATCTACTAAGGTGCTAAGTTGTGGATTACAGGGAATTTTTTTCTTTGAAATTGAAAATTTATAGAGACACCAAAAAAATGCTTATTTCCACTTTTGAAATGCCAAGTACTTGATGCATTTAGAAATTACAAGAAAGGCAAAGTGGTGCTCTCTAGTAGCTATTATTATAATGGAAGTCTCCACTGTGAAGCAGAATTTTGAGCCTAAGGACATTATGGGTAATTAAACATTTGTGCCTTAGAATCATTCTCCCTAAATGCAAAGAAAGTGCACCTCCTGGGTTTCTATCATCTTCTGCCCACTAGTACTTATTACCAGCTGAAAGTATAGGAGGATTCACAATTTTGAAGTTGGAAGGGTCCTTTAAAATTATCTAATCTGAATACTTGGTAAAGAAACCCCAAACAGTATCATATCATATCAGGGACAGCTGAGGGGATGGGAACTTAAACACCTGGAGAAACTTAAATCAAGACAGGAAACAAGATCGCCCATTCTCATGTTTGAACGACTGTCATGAAGAAGCGGCATTAGCCTGGTTCTGAAGGCTTAGTGGGCTGAGGGGAAAAGGAGGGAGGTTAAGCCAAAACCAGTAAACACAATATTCAAGGAGTTAGGTTTGAGTCAGTAAGAGAGAACTTGCTATTATTTGGGTTGCCTAAAGATATTACAGGTTGCATTGTTGGATGAGTCACTTGTTACTAAAGACACTCTGTTCTAAAAACCACTTGGGAGGCTTTGGACAGTAGTGCTTAACAAACTTAAATGTCCATTGGCATCACCCGAGCCTCTTGTCCAACTGTAGATTCTGATTCGGTAGGTCTGGGGTGGGGCCTGAGAATCTGCATTTCTAGCAAGCTGCCAGGTAATGCCAAGGCTGTGAGTCAAGAGTGTCAAGGACGTAACACGACTATAAGCCTTAGAATGTGATTTAAAACAGTGTTTCGCCAAAGTGCATACAGTCTTCCAACCATATGACTTCAAAAGTTCTCTCCCACCTGGATTTGGGGGCAGAGGACTAATAAATTGGGTAAGTGGTAATTGGCAGGATTTTGTGAGTCCACACATTCAAAATTCAAAGAAAGTTTGTATCTTGGTATCTTGCAGTACCTGCCCCCATCATACTTTTGAACAACAACTAATTTTGCACAATTCTAAAGAAGAAATGTTTTACTTCCATTAAAAAAAGGATGCTCATACTCCAAGCTTGGCAAATATTTAAAAACAAATAACTACATTGTCAATATGCACTCGGCATTAAAAAATGCAGTTACTTATGATTTCACTAACAACAGTTAACAGAGATGTAGAATGAAAGAAAATATGGCTATAAATTTTTCCCAGTGATCTGTGGCATAAAATCGTGTGTCTCCAAAGGTGGGGAGGGGGTAAGTCTCCCAAGGCTATAATTTGTGATCTTTTTCAATGGAGGGCTTTGCATTATTTACCTAGCCCTGAAATTTCACCTTCCTACCATCCATTAGAGTCATAAAAATTCCTTCAATGTTTTAAAAGTCCCTGTTTCTGGCTCTGCTCCCCTATCTAAAAAACCTGGACTTGAATCAGTTCAAAATCCTATGTGATGTCTTTCCTGGAGATATGTGCCAATATCTGAACACTTATCTTCACACCTTAAGGAATATCTTCCTTAAATTTAAAAGCCTTCTTATGTTTCTCTCCCAGAGTAAAGAAGCCAGCAACTAAGAGGGAACCAGTTTCCTGCCTTTCTTCTGACTCTAAAAGTCAGAGTTTGCTGTTTCAGTTTGCTTAAGTTATAAGTAGCATTCCATCCGATTGACAAAAGCCCTTTTTCTTAAACTGCATATTGTCAGTTAATTCTGAATGAAGCTAGCTTATTCTGCTCCTTGGGAAGTATCACCTGTTAATTCCTCTTTTGCTATTTTTAAAAGAAAAATGCGAGTTAACATGAGGGTAAGCCATCAGATGAACCTACATAAAATCTTAAAGTATTGGAAATTTTTCTACTTTCCACAGCACATGAAGATATGTGATGATACTTTTATTACTATCCATCAGATGATTCTCTAAAGCCAAATTACAAATACGATGCAAATCTTAATTTGGGGTACTTTATATTATTATTACAAGTAAACCAATACATGTGATAAGTATTTTTTTATGAAATCATATAATCCTAGATTTACTTTCTAATACTAGTAGGTTAATTCTTTTGGCAAAGTGAGTCAAATTTATTTCCTGATAAAATTAACTCGGAAAGTTTCCACCATCTACAATAACTGTTGATTTAATCAATAAATAATTTCTCAATGCCTACTCTATACCAGACATTGTTCTAGGCACTAAAGATAGTGAAGGAAAAAAAACAGATTACCAACCAGGAGAGAGGCAGATATTAGCAAGCAGTTCGCAAGTAATTACTTATTTTTTTAAATTTTTTTTATTATGTTCAGTTAGCCACTGTGTAGTACATAATTAGTCCTTGATGCAGTGTGCAACGATTCATTAGTGAAGCATAACACCCAGTGCTCATCACAGCACATGCCCTCCTCGGTACCTATCACCCTGTTACCCCCTCCCCCCACCCCACAAGTAATTATTTAAATGACAACTGAGGTATGGCTAGATACTGACCCAGGTCCGGAAGGACAGGGAGCCTCTCTGAAGAATCTGGGAGAATTCTCAGAGAACTCCACTGAAGTGTAACCGGATGAGAGAGGGTGAAATGAAAAACATTCTGGGCAGAGGAAAGAGCATTTGCAAAGATTCTGAGGTGAGAATGGAAACTATACACAGAACTGAGGCGGCCGATAGGAGTAAAGCTGGAAACAGTAATAGCTCATCTCGGCAGCATGCCTACTGTACGCATGAACTCACAGTCCTCCCCAGCACTGGACCCAGGGAATGTTACTCGAATTCTATAGCTAAGGACACAGAGGCTTAGAGAGGTCAACTTGTCCAAGGTCTCAAAGCTGGAAGGTGGCAAGCCAGGGTTTGGTCTAGGCGGTCTGCTGCCTGGGTCCTTATTCTGGACTGTAAGCTGCAAGAACTTCCCAGGAGCAGGTGAACGTGGAGCTTTCCTCACGTTCAAGATTCATTCTGTCAACTTTCATTTTCCACAGAATGGCATCATGAAATAGAGATGCATTAGAATAGCTTCAGTCTTATTCCCAGAGTCTTGATAAATATACGGTTCCGGTTGGAACCTATATCGTTAGGAAATATTACACGGAATTTTTTTTTTGAAGATTTTATTTATTTATTTGACAGAGAGAGAGACACAGCGAGAGAGGGAACACAAGCAGGGGGAGTGGGGGAGGGAGAAGCCGGCTTCCCACCGGGCAGGGAGCCCGATGCGGGGCACGATCCCAGGACCCCGGGACCACGACCTGAGCCGAAGGCAGAGGCTTAATGCCTGAGCCACCCAGGTGCCCCCGGAATTTTTTTATTACAAAAATGTTAATAGAAGTCCATATGTTAATATAACAAATGCCTGTGAGCCCATTAACCAAGATAACCATATCTTCTCAGGGATTTTTTTTTTTTATAATACACATTTATGTTCCCCTCCCTATCCCTGTTCCTCCTCTCCAAGGGACAACCACTATCATGAATTTGATAGAGAGCCAGTCCACTTTTTATTCACAGGCATACGTATGCATGCACATACATGCATAAACATTATATGGTATATGATATCATGCTAAGTAATGTTTAACATTTACATAACAAATATATAATATTCTGAAATTTGTGTTTTTCACTCTACACTTTAGGTTTTGAGTTCCATCCATATTGCTGCAATGCAGAAAGGTCTGGCTCATTCTTTTCAAGTTCTGTAGAATAGTCTATTGACCAAATAGATCACAAAGTTACCCATTCCCTACTAGCAGACATTTAGGTTGCTTTCAGAGGATTGCTTATCTAAATGCCATTTTGGAGCCAAATCTCTCTCTCTCTTTTTTTTTTTTTTCCAGATAAAATACTTTACTGAGACAGTGAATCTTACAAATGCTAGAAATACTTTAACATTGAAATTTCTGGGGTGCCTGGGTGGATCAATTGGTTAAGCGTCTACCCTCGACTCAGGTCATAATCTCAGGGTCCTGGGATGGAACCCTGCACTGGGCTTCCTGCTCAGCAGGGAGCCTGCTTCTCTCTCTCTCTCTGCCTCTCCCCACTGCTCCTTCTCTCTCTCTCTAACAAATAAATAAAACCTTAAAAAAGTACAATAAAATTGAAATTTCCATTTTAAATAGGGTTTTTCTCTAAAGAAATAAATCTTTGATAATTCAAATCAT